CAGACACTTTCCCAGGCTTTGAGGATTACAGAGTTATGGTGAAAGGCTGAACACCTAGATTAAACTCATTTACAGTTGTAACTGAGAAAGCATTCTCAAGCAAGAATGATTTAGTGTAACACAACAAAAATATACTTCATTAATCACCCAAAAGGTTGTCAGTAAAAAATCAAACCAAAAAATTAAAATCAGCAAACCAGAACTTCATCCCAATATGCCAATTCTCAAAACTACAACTTCTTTCCTTTTTTTTTTTTTTTTACATCTGCTCAGTTTAGCAGTAAACAATTAAAGGCAGAGTCCAATAGCACTGGGAGTCAAAGAGGAGCTAGTAAATTGCTAGTAAATTCCTATCAGTAAGTGTAGACACTGGGAAAACTCACATGTGCATAGTTTTCAAAAACTATAAGCACACAACTACACTCATAGAAACTGTGTATTGGCCTGGTGCATGCTCTTTGCAAAACACATGATTTCCATTTAAGCAAAATAAGCACTTGGTGTTGGACTGTATTTGATGTAAATTAGGGCTCTCCACAGACAGGCTGAAGTCCCATTAAAGTTTCACAGAGAGTTTACCAGAGCTGTTTCTGAAGTTGGATGACCTAAAAACATCAGTTGTCCAACTACATGCAGCAGAGTACTAACTTGATTATTGAATCAGCCTCTGCTATTCTGATTTTGCAGCTGTAGAAAAATCAACAGACATGCAATCACACAAATCTTACTCCATCCTCTTTGAGCTGAGAACAAATGAAACAAAGATGGGTTGACATACATTAACTCAGCAATTGCACATTTGCAATACACACAGTGTTCAAACATTTCAGAAAATGTGACAAAATGCTCAAGCTAGAATGAGTTTGTATAAATCTTCAGGAAAAAAAAAAACTTATACTGCTCTTAATAATATAAAGATTAAATAAACTAACTGTGATGAAACTCTTAGGATTTTTTTTTAAGAAACACAGAAATCCCCATAATTAGATTCAATCCAAACCTACAATTTCAGTAGAATTTAAACTTTGATTTAGTTAAAGGGCAAAAACTGCACAACTTATAAACCAAGTTTTAAGGTGCTGTTGGTTTGGTAACATACTTTAAGTTCTCCTTGGCAATTAACCACATCTATCTTACAGACTAATCCTGCAACATCCTTATACCATATGCTGTCAAACCACCTGCCACAGCTAAATATTCTGCCCTTTCATAAAGCAGTTTTCAGAACTACCAGCACCACTATTAGCAATACAGTTATTTTACTCCCTGTGTTCCCCATATGTTCAGGACACTTCTCACCCAATTTTGGGAAGGGAAAAAGAAGACGTATACAGTTTTCCTCTTGGATTTTTTTGCATTTCATTATCACATCAGAAATTCACTGGCTTTTCCTCCTTGGAAAGAACACAGGAGTAAAAACTGTCCTCTGCTCACCTAGCAGCAATTAGACAATCTGTGTGGCCCCTTTTTCTGTGCAAAAATTATAACAGCTGGGGAAAGAAACAAACTCAGGTTGTTCTGTGGGTCCAACACACCTGGCAGTTCAAGAAAGGCTCACATTCTACATGCTAAGCAAAATATAGGTGTAAAGACTGAAAGAAACTCACCAGTCCTCAAGAAAGGCAGCACTCCTTCCATCAGTGAACAGCTGAGATGGAGACTGCTCCTCAACCCCCACTGCTGCTCAGGGCTGTGGTCCCACCCAGTCAAGGTGCAGCTGCTTAATGACTGGCTGCTACCAAAAAAACAAATACCCACCTGCACATCCTCCCTGCCCTCCTGCACAGCAGCAGGGATGCCCAGCTAATCCTGTGCTGAGCCAGGATGGGGAGCAAAGCTGGCCAACACTAAGTTTTGGGAGTTTACTTTTTCTGTTCTTTTGTTAGATTAGTTTTCTATTACTTAAAACACAAAAACACCTACAATTTAAGCATAAGAAAAGCCAAGCTTCCCATAATAAAAATAACAGAAACCAAAGGTTAGACAGACCACTTTCAGTACTGGCTGTATCACGATATATGACACCATCACCTCTATGTTCTCATTATGTGAGGAAAACAAAGGGATTAAATTTTAAAAAAAGACAATAATAAGACTGCAGAGACTACAATAGAGGAAAGAGGGCTTCAGGCCAGAGAATACAAAGAAAGTGTGCAACAAAAGTTCAAGTTTACCACAGGTCAAGTAGACTATTTTTTGTAGAACCAATGAAGCACAGACTCACTTGTCAGGGGCCACAGCTATTTGTCAGTATCGGAGGTAAAAAGTGACATAGCTTTAATAATTATGCCAGTATCTTATCCAAATAGAACAATGAGATTAATCAGTAATTTACCTGATGAAAAGTCAGCTGCTGAAATTTCAACCATTGAAGGTAAAATGCACCAAGACAGAATTACTCCCAGACACAAGAAGCATCACCCCAAAACCAAAATCTCAATTCTGAAAAACACACACACTGATTTTACTGTCAGTCTGCCCTTAAAAAAGTGAGGAAAAGAAACAGAACTAATGTTGCTTGTTTCAGGAAATAAACAGGACATGTAAATATCACAGTTTCATGAAATAAACAGAGCATGTAAATATCACAGCCAACATAGAAGTTGCTGAACGAAACTTGAAATTCCAAAAGAAATAAATATCAGCTAAAAAAAAAAAAAAGACAAAGACATTTTTCAGGTTAAATATTTTGGCATGAGAAGCATCATTTCATATTGTCTTGGTATTTCAAAGCCTTACAATATAGAAATCCACTGTGAAGCCTTTCAAGACTGTAAGATTCTATCTAGAATCTCTCTTCACACACAATTTTTGACAAGTCCTCTTAGAGATTTATTTGCAACATTTCTGGTGTCCAAGAGCAAACCAGTAGAGCCAAACTCTGTTGTGCCAGAGTCAGTTACTGAAGTTCAGAACAATATTTTTCTATTTAGAAAAAGTTCGTCTGTCATGACTGTCCACAAGGATTGAATGGTTATCAGAAATGCACCTCATGAATGGGCCACGAAAGAGAGGCATGAAAAATTTGGGTGTTGGTCCAAAGTTTCCAGGAAAGGGAAGCACAGCAAGTGGCAAAGATAAGGATGAGAAGAAGAGAGGACTTTAGATGCTGCTGTCTATCACCAGCAGAGCAGAGAAAGCTGGGCTGATGTGGTGAGACAAAATGGTAATGCAGCAAGACTAGTTAGGCAGAGCCTCAAGGGACAAGAAAATAAATGAAAGTTTAAAACACAATGGAGCAACTCTCTCCAAGATAATCCACGTGGGGAGACAGATGATCTGATACAGATAGTGTGAGATAACTGTCAAATGCAAGGTGATGTTTCAAGGTGCCTTTGTATGACAAGTGAACATTACCCTTCCACTGCTGAGCTCAAGCAAGCAAAAAAGTATCAAAGTACAACATCAGGAAACTAAGGTACAAACAGTCCAAACTCAGCCTAAATAGCTCCACATGCACAAAGTTTCCCCCTCCTGCCTTGAAATAGCAAAGTCAAGAATGGCCTCCTACCAGAAGGTATGAAGGATGATCTAGCAGACATTTATCTCATCCACACAGACACATTTTTTAAAGACTGAACAGCCGGAATTGCCACATTGAACGACTCATTCCTTATAATAATTCCTGATTTAATGTTGGACTCCATCCAGCAATTATTCAAAGTTGCTAAATAGTCATGGAGCAGCAGGGAAATTTTTAGCAAAATGAGCTTGCATAAAATGTCCTATATTCATCTCAACCAAAACACCAGTTTAACAGAGGTTTCAAAACATTTGGTAAACACACAGCAAATATTAAACCCTGCAAACACACTACATTGCCAGAAAGGCTGCTGAGCCTCAAATTTACAGAACCATGATGGTCAAAATCAATCTGTACATTTCTAGGCTATGTCAGCACCAAAAAAAACACCCACCAGAGCTAAATTTAAAAAATGAAATAAAAGAACCCAAATCCTCCACTCCTCAAAACTAAACCCAACACCAAACCACTTCAGGTGAGAAGAGCAAGTACCACGCAAGTGGCAGATGCCAAGCACTCTTTTAAGTCAGAATGGAGGGTTGCATTTGCAGCTTCTTCCTAGAGGAGTGCTGGATTTGCAGTTTCTAGAAGAACACAACCCACATTTCCACACAGTTCACAGATATACTCAGAAATGGAAGATTCATGGGCACGAATTCCCGTGGTTTCTAAGAAAACACTGTGAAATAAAATACCTTTATTTAAAATGAAACAAAGCATCTTACTAGAAGTTCAAGACAACTGTAGAAATCTATATATTTTGACTTTACGCTTATATTTTCAAAATTACTTGAAAGCACTTGATGCGATAAGCCACCCTAAATTCTTTAAATATTAAGGAATAAACTTATAGGGATGAACAACCGTTTAACAGCCAGAATACAGAGCTGGATTTGAAATTGTTTTCTTTGCAGACACTCATACATCTCTAAGTATATCTGTGCTCCCTTATGCATAACATGTTGAAACTGCAAAAATGAAATAGGTGTAAAGATCAGAAGGGAAGGACTGCTGCAGCCCCGAGAATACACCGGGCGAATTCCGGTTTCAGACCAGAGCACCACAGCGAACGAGGCAGCACTAACGGGGAGCTCTCGTTTCTAAGCCGTGCGGTGCCTCCGCCGCGCTCCCGCCGTCGCTCGGGGCGCGGAGGGTGCGCGGGAGCGGCGGCTGCCCCGGGCACCGCGCGAGGAGGGCGGCGGCGGCGGCGGGAGCCTCGCCCGGCGGCGCGGGGCATTCCCGGCCGGCAGCTCCGGGCCCGCGGGCGGGAGAGCAGCGGGGCCCGGCAGCGCGGAGCCCGAGCGTCCCCTCCGGCCCGGGCAGTGCGGCGGCGGCGGCGGGAGGCGGCCCCGGCGGCTCGGGGCGGCCGGGACCCGCAGCAGCCGGCAGGGACAGGTCTGATCCGGCGGCCCCGTCCCTGCCCCCTCCCCGCCGGGCGCGCCCGGCCCCGCCGCCCCGGCACCCCCGCGGCTCTCACCATTCTCCTCAGGGCCGGGCTGGGTCTCGGCGCCGACTCTGGTTCTCCTCCCGCCGGGCAGCTCCTGCTCGTGGTTCGGCGTCGGCGGTGGCGGGGCCTGTCTCCATCTATCGGGGCTGGGCTCGGCGGCAGCGGAGGGCTGGGTGGGGAGCGGCCGGGCAAGGACGACGCTCCGGGGACGAAGGGAGGCGCGGGACGCGGAGGACAGCGCTGGTTCGGCTCCGCACCGGGACTCGGGGCTGGCGGCGGTCTCGGCCCGGCGCCTCTTTCTCATAATTGTGCGACTCGGCCGGCGGAGGAGCCGCGGCGCTGCCGCGTCAGCGCGCACCGCCCCCGGCAGGAGGAGGGGGCTGGCGGGGCGGTGCTGCCCGCCCGGGGGTGTGAGGGGGTGTCTCGGCCTCTCCACGGCACCGCTGAGCCCCGAGCGGGGTCCCGGGATAGCCGGAGAAGGCGTCAGCGGCTGCGGGCTGGCAGGCGGCCGTGCTGCCGGTGAGGTGAAGGCGGAGATGTTAAAAATGGAGCTTCCAAGAGAGAAACCCGGCTGGCTGGGGAGGCGCGGCTCGGAGAGGGGCCCCGCAGCTCCGCTAAGGCAGCGGCTGCTCTCGCGTGGGGCTGCCATGCGCGTCCCTGAGGGCGCGGAGCCGGCAGGACCGGACACCTCGGCCCGGCTCCATCCCGTGGGCTCTGCCCCATGAGGGGACCCGGCCCTGCTCCTGTCAGAGCCACAGGGCAGCGAGCAGCCTCAGCTCACGTTAGTTCACGCTTTTCTTGCCAGCCCTGCTCGCACATGGCACTGCCGCCATTAGCTCCGCGTCGGAGGCATCTTCTAACAGGCCTGAGCCAAACTGGAGGAAATTCCGTTTTGGATGGAAAAAGGAGGATGCATTTCTTCCACTTCAGTCAATTCAGTCTCCAGTTTAGATTAGGAAGTGCTCAGGGGAGGAACCTTGTCTTCTTTGTCCCTGTATGCAATCTGCAAACTTGGAGAATCAGTACCACAAATGAAAACCCTCATACAATAATTTCTACTATATATGTCATTATACAGCTTTTGCAACAACCTCTGTGCTACAGTAAAAAGCATTTGTTAGGGAAGAGTGAGATTTGGTTTGGCTTAAATTATTTGTGTCCCATAAATTAAAAAAATTAAAAGAGATCCTACAAAAATCTCTCATCTCTTTCTGAAATACCATGACCATACAAGAGCAGGAATTATATATAAACTCAATCCAAGCATTCAAAGTAATTTAAAGCCTTTGGTTTTTCATAGTCAGGTTTGATCATTTGTCAGCTGTCGTGAGTTATCTCTCTCCCCTTGCTGCACAATGCCAGCATTAGCGTTGGGCTGAGCTGACGTGTGCTCACACCTGGACCCTGGGCTTGTGCATCACAGGGTAACAGAGTCCACTCTAATGACCAGACAGGCACGATCAGAAATCAAACCCAACCCAACATTAATTTGCAGCAGCCACTTTTGCTTTTTTTTTCCTTGCCTTTTTTTTTTTTTTAACGCAACTCTAGCTAACAAGAAACAAAACATTCTTGCTTTTACAGCCATTTAGCAGGGCAAGTCCAGTTGTAAATTCTGGTGACAGAACACCTTCGCTGCGGACAATAGGTGCAAATTTGGGAAGACCCAGCAGCTGAGGCACCCAGCTCGAATAATTAGGGTGTTGCAGGGAGTTCCTCAGCTGCAGGGGAGTTCCTAATCCTTGTTTTAAGTTAACTTCAGAAGAATTCCTGCTATCTTACATAGATATGAAAATTAGGCTCTTAGGACTCACAATTTCCATAGAAATGGAAAATTAGGCTTTTCCAGGAAAAACTGTTCTGAGTACAAGATCACACAACAAAGAGGGTCAATTCACTCTTACTGTGTAGAATTCCCAAACCTGCTGCTACTTGTTCCTGCCCAGATTCCCATGTGCTAGTTCTTGGCTTAGAGAGCAGGAACAGAAGGAGCAGTGGAAGCCCAGTAGAATTTTTTTGGAAATGGTTCAAGAATCTTCCAAAGTAGAGAAAATGGAGGATTTTTGAATTTTTCTGTTGATACTATAAAGCATTTATGAGAAATCACCTCATTCCTTCTTCCTCTCTCCCTCATTTTCCTCTTCTAATTAATTGATCTGAAGCTCACATCCCACATTAGATGAATGAGTCAGTTCTTTTATGACTGGACTCTTCACCTCATCTCACAGCAATACTTGGGCTACACTGACTTGATTCTCATGGTTATCATGTTGGCCTTTAAGTTTCATATTTGTAAATCCAAGAGCTAGAAGAAGCAAGGAAATTAGGAAAAAGTAGGTGAAGGCCAACCTAGGCATGAGTCTTCTCTGGTACAAGCTATTAGTTCAGGAGAATGTGTGTAAGGTGAGGAATTTCCATGCCTTGTTTTCCTGTTGATCCTGCAAAACTGAGATCAACATCAAACCGTTTCAGAGTTCAGCTGTGATAAATTTAGCTGGAAAGAGCACATTGTTTCAGGAACAGCTTGGGATGCAAATGAAAGGAAAATGAGTCATCCACATCCTCTCTGCCTCGTGCTGTCTGGGGGAGCATGAGCCTTCAGTGTGTGGAGGCAAGGACACAGCAGCAGTGACACACATCCCCGTGACCTGGCACTGAGGCACAGTCACCTCATATCCTCTTACTACCTTGATCAGCCTGTGCAGAACATAGCATGATTGATCCTAAACTAGCAGTCAGTCATCCAAAAAGGGAATTCTTGTGCATTCAGATGTTAAATCTTGTATTTGCTACTTGTCATTCTAAGTGTTACCGTTCATTCACACCAAAAGTCAACTCAAAATTCCTGTCTCCTTCCAAATCAACACCTGTCAGCTGTGAACAAGGAAATAATGAAGTATTATTTTATACCTTATGGCATTTAAGGACCATTAACCTGAAGCAAGCTTCTGCTATCTCAGATTGAATATAACTGGTTTTTAAAAAAACTTTTGTTATGTGGTTCCCATATCTTATTTTTATATCTCAGATCAAGCTATCAGTCTGTCCTTGACACATTTATGGGGTAATCATTACTAGACCTAGTAAAATTTGTGATGTCAACCCCAATAGGTTTTACATCCCATTAAACCAACTGTGACTCGATTTCAATGTAAGTGCTAAAGGATAAGAAACCTTTCTTAGGAAGCTCTTATCTCAATATTGCAATGCCCAGTAGCCAGGATGCTGCTCTTTGATTGCTCCCCCTCACATGGATTAAACACTGACTCATGCTTAGGGGAAAAGAACCACAGCATTCCAATTGATGGGAAACTAAATTAATTACCATTAAATGAAAGTGACCTGGTTTTGATTTTGTTTGTTTGACACTATAAAAAATTTTACCAGATGTGCTGGTGCTCTGCAGTTGTTCAAAGTGAGTGCTAGAGTTCAAGCAGTTAAATAAGTTGCAAATGCTCACTGATAAGGAGATCTAGTTAATGTCCCACTCAAAGCCAAACAGATTCTCTGTAGAAAACATTTTTGTCCCACAGTGAAGTAATCTGTGACAGAAAAAAGTTATTATTTATTCACTTTTCATATTTTTGGAAGAGTGATGAAGTCTCCCAAATGCCTTATTTTTTTTCTTTGGCCACAGGTTTGTCCTTTTCTGATTTACCCAGGTAAATAGTTTCTCCAGCTACAGCTGTAGTGGTAACTCAGCAGTTTACATTCAGACTGCTACTCCTAAAAACTGAAGATACCTTTTTTTCCCCCACATCGAAGTTTAAAATTTGTCAGGTAAAGCAAAAAACATACAATGACACAGATTAACAGGATCTGTAAGTCCTCTCCATTATTTGTGGAAGATTTTCTAGTGCTGATGTTGCTGATTTTTTGTGACAACATTTGTCCAATACCTTGTATACAATATACCAAATAACATTACAATCACATAACTTGGCAACAATTCAAAATATAATGTTTCAGAATGGGATGAAGTAAAAACAGCTAGGAGGAGGCTTCTTGCCATTGAAACTAGGGAAAATAAAACTTAGAAAATCCATAACTTCACAGTTTTTAAATGCTTAGTAATTTTGGTTACTTTGGTTGTGGTACACCTCAGAGTCATGCATCTTCTGAAGAGGTCCCAAAGTTTTAGTAATCTTTTTGCATTATATTAAAGTTCCTTAAAGGCAAAAAGTAGTTAGGCTAAGCAATGTGTTAGCTTTAACAGCTGAGATGTGCTCCCTCAAAAGAAACAAGCATATAGAAATAGGTCATAAAATCCAAGGTAAATTCAAGATACACCAGGAGAATAATGTACAAAAAGTTAATTTTGCATATTTAACAGTCATTAAACAAATTCTCCCCTGTGACTGATTCAGACTCCAATCTCACAGACAATGGATGTCTTTAAATTCAAATAACAAAACTGCTCAGGTGTTAAAATCTTAAAACATTGGCATCTCTGCACCACACAGCCCCAGACAGGGGGGCATGGCTTTGGAGATAAGAGAGCTGATCTGCTATCACCTGAAGGCCACCAGTGCAGTTCAGCTCCTCTCTAACAACTGCATTTAAGTGTTAACTAAGGGCCAGAGCATAAGGCAAAGTCAGCCACTGACTTGGGAACACAGATGCAGGGAATGGCACCTGAGGCTTCTCAGCTGTTGGGTGCTTTGCTGGAAATGGCAAATCCCCAGAAATCAGGGTCACTTTCTGATTTCTGCTTTCTGATGGCAGCACAAAGGGCTCGATGACCAAACACACCGAGCTCAGAGTGCAAAACCAGTAACTCCAGTTCGACTTTGTGCTAGGACTCCTCACATCCAAATTAGGCAACAGGGAGTGTGGGTTTTCAGTTTAAAAATCTGCATTAAAGATATTCCATAGCAATAGCAAGGGATATCAAGTTAATGATGTTATTGAGCACAGGCAATTCAGAATGTTCTTTTACACGCTCCATGAGTGCACAAAAAGAGATACATTACCCAACCCATCATCTAAAGTAGAATGTAAGCATATCCTGTATTTGGGAATATGATATGTTACTTCCTGCTCAGAAAACAGTGAGAGCTTAACCAACATAGGCCACAGCCTTGCACAAAACTGCCAAGGGTGTGCCTC